AATTTGCCTCGCAATTAACGCGGCTACCGCTTAAGTAAATCGTCATACACCACCTTCTCCTACTCCTCGTTCTCTCACACCACGGCTGCAAAAACAAACGCGACAACGTAGTGACTTCGTTTCGCGCGAACGCGAAACCATTGGGAATCAAATTTTCCTCTTACCTAGTCGGTTAAATGTGTTTGAGCGGAGGAGATTAATCAGATTTTCGCGCAAACTTCCGCACACTTTCCTAATTACTGCGCTTGTTACAGAAATGTTCAGTAGCCGCGTGCGCGCGTGCGATTTAGAGGCCTCATTGCGTGCGGCACGAGGAAACAAAACAGCGACAAAGAAACGCGGAGGGAGTGCGAAACAAGCGCGCAAATTCGCGTGACGTGTCGCAGAGCATTGCGGATATTCAGATTAGACGTGGCGGTGCAATCCCGCCGGTTTCCGGCTGCGTTTTAAGGCAGATTCAATTTTCCGCTCGAAACTACCTTCCACAGGACCACCGTCGTCGGCGCTCCTCACTCATGTCGTCGCCTCTTTCTCTCACTCTGCCTCCCTCACGGTCATCCCTTGCAAATGGAATCATATATCCCTCCAAGGAACGGAAGCCACGTTTCTCCCCGATTTATTTCTTCTGTGAATCGATCCGACCGCAGTTTTCGCGTGATATCCCGCCGCGGGAATCACCAAAATACTACCGAGATTTCCTTCCGACTTCGTCACTCCGCGACGACGAGAATCCGCTATTCAACTACCCCGCCCCGAAACTTCCACTGTTCGTTGCTGCCGCTGCGCGAGAAGAAATCGGAGCGATCGATGGATTTGAAAAAGAAAGCCGCGACCGCGCTTCATCAATCGAAGTCATATGCTGCTGTTCCACATGCGAAAGAAAGATAGATTGGCTTAGATACAACGATAGATAACCGCTCAAGAGACATTATAATTATATAATAACCTCATAAGACTCTCTATGCGGCACAGTGCGCGCGGATAGCCTGGGAAAAAATGCGACACAATGATGGAAGCGAAGATAACGACAGATTGAATACATTGACCGGCGCATCTAATATTCCGGAGAGCCTTTCTTCTGTGTACTCTCCTCTCCTCCCCCTCGAGCTGCCTCGAGGGAAAATCAAAGACGCGCGTCGAGAAAGAGAGAGAGAGAGAGAGAGAGAGAGAGAGAGAGAGACGAAGATGCGCGTATGAATATTTATAATAACGTAAGCGCGCGCGATATGTCGCTCCGCGCGCCTCGGCGCTATTTCTTTTCTCGTTAGCGCCGTTTCATCCAGCGCTTGTCTGGCCGAAGATACGACTTTAATTTCGCATGTGGCGCGGCGGACCTCATACCCGCGAGATGTATCCCCGCGGCCTTCTTGATAAAGCAGCGCGACTATCAAGAATGCATTAGGAGAATAACGGCGCGCGCGTTTAAACAGAATAAAAAATGTTCGACGAGATGAGTCGAGTGAGCGCGGATAAACCGGACGTAAAACGCGATGCAATTTGCATAACGTTTGTCATCCGGCCGGTGAACACGTCCTTTCCACGGTTGCATCAATTATCGCGCGAGGAGCGCGCTCGCTTCGTCAACGTGGCATTTTTCTCGAGCACGCTCTTGAGCACGAGAACCAGGGGATGCGGCCCAGCTGAAGTTGAGGAATCATCCCGTCCCGTGGCGGGACGGCGAACGAGCAATTATTCACTGGAGAGGATCGCGGACGACTGTAAACAGTTTGACGAATCGCGTTTTACGCTCGCGCGCGCGGATGTATTCTGTTATTGTCACCGACATCCTTGTTGACCACGACTCCGCTCCTTAGGAGGAGGCGGCGGAGGACAATTGACGTTTTTTATGTCGAGGATATCATAAGGACTGCTGTGCTCCATTTTCGCTCACGCCATGTTTGTTAGCACGTACACCGCCGCTGTGCGCAAGCACTTTTATTATTACTTCACGAAGGGCTGTCCTCGGACGCGGGGAGGGTTTTAATACGTACTCGCGACGGTCGTCACGACTCTCGCGGCAGCCGATAAAGACCGGCTAGCTAAATCGAATCCCCGCGGCGTCTCTGGTCAGCGAAAATCCCAAAGCACGCGCCCGCTTTCTCGGGTCGAAGGAATTCGAGGGGTGGGTGAGAGAGAATGAGGCTTTTATCTCGAGGAGATAATTAGACGTCGCGCTGAGGATTTATAATCGCGGCGCCGCGTGAGTGAGTAATCACCCTATCGCGGGGGGCGGAATTAAAGGCGAAGGACGTCATAATGAGAGAACGATGGACTTCGCGCTATAATCGCCGAGTACATGCACCGGAGTGACGTTCTTTCCTCTGCGATTTTCATGTCGACTCTGAGCTCCCCTAAGAGTCCACTATCGTCACGTGACATGTGGCGTTTACGGTGGTCCCGCGAGCACCGCGGTGTGCGGATAAAGCGGATGTTTAAATAAATCGTTTTGTCGTCGAACCAGCCGGCGAATCAGCGGCGTCACGCGAACCTCTTCTTTTATTCATGGATCCGCGCCGATTTAGACTCGCCCGCGCCGAAGAGAAATCGAACGGGCGCTCGTGGCGCTCGAGCGCAAACGAAAATCCGCCGGAATCGGACTGTATCCCTTTAAGTTGCGCCCGATGGAGAAACGTTGCTACGCGGCCGTCGCTGTAACGCTACAACGCAGCAATCGACTACGTTTTTAAGTAATTGATCTCATCACGGGAAACATCGGGAAAACTTTCCCGCCACGTTACGCTGCGCCCCCCGCGCTTCTTCGCTTTTATATAATCCTGTCTCACTTCGCTCTAATTCTGCATACTTCGCATCTTATTTTCCAAGAGCTGCTATCAACGCGCTCTTGCCCGACACGATCGCCATTAATCCCTCTTATCCCCGAGCGATGAGGTTTTTTTCTCTTAATAACGCAGTGATTGATCTCGTCGCGTAGTAATGAGAGAAAAGTAGTGAGAGACGGGAAAAGTCTCATCACGCTTCGCGTTTTTTTTTTTTTTGACTTCGCCCTTTGTTTCCCACGTCAAGTTGTGTCATATTCTCTTAGGCGGGGGCCGACGTATTTTAACGCAATAAGGTCGGCTTCTTTCAATTTCGTCAGAAATTCCATTCGACGGGAACTTGCGCTTTGCGTGTCGTGCGCGGGAACGGCGGTAAAAATTCCGAGCACGGGAGTTGGGGGCGCGCAAGCACGGGGTAAAGTAATACTTATTGCAGTTCGAAATAAAGTTAGGAAACGAGAGCGCAACCTCGGTAGCGGTGTTCGGGCGATAAAAAACAATGATAAATAATAATAAAATTGCGCGTTCCCGTCCCTACGAATATTCGACCGAGTTAATTTCATAATGGAAGTTTACGGGACGTGCTGGGGGCCAAGTTCTCTCCGAAAGCGCGGGGGTGTTAACAATATTTGTAAGGCGAGAATTATGGTCAAATGGAAGTGAAGAGGCAAAGGCATCCGGCACACTGCATGGAACGGGGGCGATGGGGGTGAAACGGCAGAAATGGATCCGCGAAAGAGACGGAGCGAAGTGAGGCGAAGCAAGAGAGAAAGAAAGAGAGAGGAGGGAGGAGGGAAAGAGAGAGAGAGACGCCACGAACGTGCGCCGCACGAAGAATCGAGACGAAACCATTTCCCACGAGGGTGGGAAAAGACAGGGGGCGAGGGAGGCGGCGAGGTGAGTGAGGGAGTCGGAAAATCGACGAAAGCAAGACAAGGGTGGAAACGCGGCGCGGAACGCGCGATCGACCGAGACGGCGAACGGCCGGCTGACAGAGAGGGAGGAAGCGCGAGGAGGATCGAAGGTGGCGGAATCGGACGGAGGAACCTGCGGCAGGGGAGGGTAGGGAGGAAACATAGAAGGGAGGATAGTCGAGCATCTCCTCCGAGTTCGAGTGGTGGGTGCGCTTGCGCCCTCGTAACCTCCACCACACTTCCACATAATGTCATCGCTGAGCCAGTCTGACGCCAGGCGCCGCGACGCTATGACGTCACTGGTCCGCGCTTCGCCGACGAACGTACCTCGCCAGCGGTGAGAACTCATGAATGAAACCCTATTTACCACGGAGTCTCCGGTAGAGTCCTCGCAAAGGAACGCGCCGCCGAGCAGGTTCGCACGATCGCGCGCCACGGACCGTTGAGACCGTCGTCCTCGGTTTAGTCGCGAACGCGAACAGCCGGGGCCGATTTGGCGGAAACGTGAGGGAGAGCGAGAGAGCGAGAGAGAGAGAGAGAGAGAGAGAGAGAGAGAAAGAGAGAGAGAGATAAAGAGAGGCCTGAGTCTACCGAGCATCTGTCCATTTAATCGTGTCGACTTACGTGTGACAAAGCTGATCGCGAGCGAGCGAGCGAGCGAGCTAGTGATCGATCGATCCGCACGATGCTATCGCGATGAGGCAGGAGCAATTCCGCTTGTCAAGATTATGATTTACACATCGGCGGACGAGCCTCGAACGAGCGAGCGTATCGCGAGCGAATAATCTGGACACCGGTGCTCTGAATCTTCGTCAAGCTGTCCGGCATAATGTCTATCTCTGTCTCCCTCTTTCTCTCCATCTATCTGTCTGTCTACCTATCAGTGATAACCCGTGTTGATAGCGCGCGCGGGCAAAGTACGCGTAACGCAGTTCCCGCCAGCTGATACTCTCGTCGCCTTCATTCAGTGCTTCCACGGCGTTCTCCATCGTGCTATTGACGTTTTTGCCAAGAGTTGCGCGAAAGCTGGTGCTCTCTCTCTCTCTCTCTCTCTCTCTCTCTCTCTCTCTCTCTCTCTTTCTCTCGTGACGATAACAACCTTTATCGCGCGGTTACCGGAGAGCTTTTGGACGACGCACGACGCTTTAGTGCACTTCGGAGAGTCTCATCGATATCTGGTTCCAATTTTATGAATGGTCGCTACGCCGCGCCTGAGTGTGTATCTCCCGATAATCAGGTTCCTGTAGCTTTTCGGCGGAAGCGTTCTCCAGAGAACCCGGAGAACGCGGAATTGCGCCCGATTCCGCCGCCACCGCCACCGCCGCCGCCGCCCCAACACCCACCACGGTCCGCATTCACGTTCCAGCCTCGCGTTCTCCGCTCTTCCGCTCTTCGCGTCTACTCGTTACTACTTACACGTTACGCGCGCACCGTCCTCGAGAGCGTGTCCTCGAACATTCCCGACCGTCATCTTCGGGCTGCTCTCGTTACAACGTAATATTGAGCATGAAAACGCATGCTCCAGCGTGATCGCGAGGTCAAGGGTGCAGCACGACCTCGACCGGAAGTTAATCATTCGACGAGGCCCTCCCACGGCCTTCGGCAACTCCAAATTCCGCGAGCCACCCTCGCCCTCGGCCCCGTGTCGAGCGCTGTGTCGCGCGATCAACTTCCGCGACGCAACGGCATGAACAGCGTATGAATCAAAAGCCGGAGGCCACCAAGTTCGCGAACCGACAGGACACGACGCGACGCGTCGCGCTACCGCGACGTGACGTGAATTCGCATTAGCGAATTTGATCTGCATTCAAATTCATGGATACACGAACAGAGATCCACCGCTTCCTCTCGGTCTATCTCTTTCTCATGCGACAGTTACCCGCTTCCTTTTGCTCGACCGCAAACGTCACCGAGAGCGAATAAGATCTCCATATTAAGGCGGAGGGAACCAACTTTGCCGTAACTTCATTTCACCCGACCCGCTCGAAGAAAGACGCGCCTCGCTCACCCATTGTTATTCCGTTAGACCAAGTTTTTACTAAGTTTTACGACAGACGGACATGACTTCGTTCCGAATCAGCCCGGTGAGACCGCGCGCGCGAGGGACCGTATTTTTCCATCTTCTCCTTGGCTACTGCCGACCAAACATCGCGAATCCTCCATCCCATGCTGGTGGTAATCTTCGTTGCCTCCGACAGTGACTCGATTATTTCGAACGGAGACGATACGTCGAGGTGGAAGATGTCGAAAACGCGAGTGAGATTCATTATTCACCGGCGCTAATTACGTTGCGATAAACGCATTGATCAAACCATCTGAGCTTCTCACTCCGCGTAATCGATCCGCGTATCGCTGAACTACTGCGTGTAATTATTTCGATCTTGTTTGCGCACGGAGATCTGTGCTCGCGTGTTCCTTATCGTAAATTTCCGCAAAAAACGGTATCGATGGTGGCGATATTTGTGATAAAATTCCGTCGAATTTTTTCGGCAATTAATCGCGTTGAGTAAACTTTACAAACTTTACAAACCTGTGCCTTCAAACATTGCATCTATATTGCAGTAGTAACTTTGAAATAATAAACGACTCGAGGTACATATCCTTTTATAACACTTGGGAAGCGGAAGGATTAAAGGCGGTCGTGGCGGAGCGAGCGGAACGTGACAGCGGGAGCTAAGGAAATACATTAGTGGAAATACTGTTTAATCCCGCGGATAAGGTCGGAGATATCGTAACGCCGTTGGCCTTTAAAGCCCTTCGCATAATGGCCCAGAAGGGATTGGCTACTACTAGCGTGAGTTCTGAAAGTAGTCCGTATCGGTCGTCTCGTCTTACGGCCTTTGAAACTTTGATACGCTCGATCTAGGGTACAACGTCTTCCTGTCACAGTAACGTTCATTCGCATTACTCTTTCGAATATCTTCGGGATGGAGAAAAAGAGAAAAAGAGGCAAAGAGAGAGAGAGAGAGAGAGAGGGAGGAAGGGAGGAAGGAGAGAAAGTAAACGAAGAAGTATCCGCGAAAAATAAAGACGACGCTCGAGACGCGGAAATTTGCGGAAAGTCCACTTAACGTCATCGATCAAACTCGCCAAAATTGCGAGAGTCAAAAGCAAATTTATCGACTGCGCGACCACGAAACTCCTTCGGCGTTTCCTCCAGCGCCTCGTTCTCCAGAGTTCGTCTTAATTTTCCGATGCGATCTCCGAGCTCAAGCCGACCGCGCGTCCGTTCGCAGCACTTGCAAACTTCCCTGAAGAGATCACAAGCGGTGCGCGATTAATGATTCCGCGAGAGCTCGCCGCGCCGGAAAATTATCGTCGCGAGCAAGCCAACTTTCGCGATTCGAATGCACACGCAGATCTCTCCCTTTCTCTCTCTCTCATCTCTGTTTCCTGACATTTACGCATCGAGTGCGAGGGGAACGCACGAGGGAGAGCTTCTTCGCAGACGCGGACCGGAAGCTGCCGCTTCTTCTCTCACTAAGATTCTCCCTTATCTTCCCCACAGAGAAAGCAATATCGTCGGAAAGGGAATCAACGTGGGAGGCGTATCAACGAGTCGATCGCATTAAATAAGACGATACGAGTGATATCCTGCGAAGATCCTCTCGTCGCCCCAAATTAAATCAATTAAATAAACCCCGGGGCGGCTCGGGGTTGAATTAAATCAAACTTTACCATTTACGACTCGACCCGGTCTCTTTGTGTCGACCCCTTGATCGCGACGCAAATTTATCGCGAAGGACGTTGTCGCTCTCTCGAAAACGAAGCAAGTTTTCGCCTTGCTGCAAAATACACCTCCAAATTGGATCCACCGACAAACTTCTCGAGACAGTGAACTGTTGGTAGCTGGACGGGGGAGGAAGTTGCGGCCGGCGAAGTTATCGAGTGGATTCGATAGGACGTCCCTGCGCGACCTCGAAACAAGGAAGAGTCAAAGAACCCCGCGAAGAAGGAAGCGTTTCAGAAAGGGCGATCCTCTAACCGCGTCCTACGGAAACTTCGAGCGGAATCCTCCTGCCTGCCTGCTTTCCTTCCTTGCTTCCTGTTTGCCTGTCTCGCTCCCTTCGCGAACTCCTCGGCGGTGAGGAGGACGTCAATCTCGGCCGCCGAGCAGCCTCAGACTCTTCACTCTTCGACTCGCCAACTGCACTTCGGTGGCATTGAAACATGCGAGCCGGACGGTGAGGACGAAACCCCCGACGCGGAAGAGCGGCAAACCCCGGAGACAATACCTTCGATTCGAGAGAAGAAGAGAAGAGAGATCGCCAAATCGCGCGCGCGTCAGCTCCGCACGACTCGCGGCTACGAAGATGGGCAAGAAGAACAGCAAGCTCAAGCAGGATACCATCGATCGACTCACCACCGACACCTACTGTAAGTAGTAAACTTCTCCCCGTTGCCGTCTCCTCCTTTATCTCTCACGCGCGCCTTTTCAATCCCGTCGTCATCGTCCTCGCGCGGACGCGTGCGAATTCTCGCCACCGGCGGATTATAAGGCGGATAGAAGCGCGTGTTCCTAATTATCATGATCGCAATAAATTTCCGCGATACCGTAACCCGCCGACCGTAAACACCGAGTTAAATGGTCTTTGCGACGTGACGCGCCGGGCGCGCTTGACGAACGACGATGGCGCGCGCGCCCCTCTCTGGCGCATTCTTCAAAAACTGGGTCTTCCTCCAACCGCGAATTCTTCCGAACGACCTGGCGCGAGGATCGTCGCAGGAAAAGGAGCCGTGCCGCGGTGCCGCGCTTCCTGATATGGGCTTTTCCGACTGACTTGCCGCGTTATTTTGGCGATCCATATAATCGTAGAAACGCAGCCCCAAAACGCTTAAATATTCCTTCTCTTTTATTTCTCTGTCCATATCTATCTGTCTATATCTACCTATCTATCTATCTATTCCTCTGTTCCTCTTTCTACTCTTTTTACTCTATTTCGCTCTACTCCACACTCTATTCCCTCCCTGTCCGCGCGTGCTAAACGCGCATCGATCGCGCGGTCGTTCAATACTCGCCGCAACGACGTATCCTTCTTCATTCGATAAAACGCGTTTAATCCATTGCCGTTACAAAGTTGGCCTGTCGGAAGCGACAGCATACTGCTGCGTTTCCACGCCACGTGGCTTTGTTTCCGTTGAACGAGCTTCGTGCATTCGATAGCGCGCGCTACGACGCGCCGCGCCGTGGCGAGGCGCGACGCGACATCGAGGCGCGGACTTCTGTTTAATCTTTCAGTAAAAAGTTACAACACACCGGCCGCGTTTGCGAACAAGTCTAATATTTACGTCGCGGTTTTACGCCGAGAGAACACAGAACAGATAGCCCGCGCGAACGATTTTGCGGGCGGATTCCTTCGTGCGAAAACCGCGTGAAAAGCAGCTGGCCACGTGACGATGAATCCGGGTAATTCCGGCGTGGAAAATTAATGCCGCTTAATGGGCGGCCGAGTACTCCTTTTCCAGCTCGAACGCACGTGCGCGCAAAGACGAGCACGAGAAGCTCTCGATCACCTGGCTGGCTACTCGAGCGAGCGTGTTTTCGGCTCGGACGTTTCCCAGCGACTTGGGTTACACTCCAGCATCGATTGTGGATTTCACGTAGACCCTTATTAGGATTTTCGCAACGAGCCAACTGCGACCTCATGCGCGCAGGCAAATTCAATTATAGACATTACGTATCGAGACGCGCTAATCGTTCGGCAAGCATTTGCGGGAGAGACAGTAACTGGCTATGAAATTCTAAGTCGACGTTCCTTCTATACGCGTTTCTGCTTCTCGCTCTTATAAAAGGACTCATCGATATTCACATTGTCGTTTGTATTAACGATACATATGACAACGTATACGGACAGAATTTTATAATTTTTTTGTCCCCATATAAGTTTCTCTCAATTTTATCATGTCTCTAGTAGTGCAGGAATAAACTGTCAGTAAGATCTATCTTGCTAAGAAACATAGTAAATTTGGCTAGAGACATAGTATATTTTATGTCCTAAATATTAAGTAACACATATGAATGAAAAAATAGACGGTTACTGCGGTTTATAGTAATTTTCGCTATAAAGTTCTCTTCGTGTAAGATACTTCAAAGAGAATACTGTTCATTCGTCCCATCTTGTTCGACTATTTGCTCTCGGAGAAAGATAATTAATAGAAACGAAAAAGTAATGTTAACTCAATAAGATTTTATCTTCATTTGCTCGAGTGCTCGTTTCTCCCGTTATCCTCACCTGAATTATGAAGAGCTCGAAAGATGAGAGGAAAGACGAATCGCGGTTTGAAGTAATTCTCACTCTGCGCTCCCCTCACGATTTGTGTGTCTGTACCTATCTGATAAATATTTCTCGAACTACTCCACCAAGATAATTTCGGAAGTGATTCACCTTGACGTCTAATTTTTCTGCCTGCTATTCGCTCCGCAATCTGGTTTCCACCGAGCTGGGATTACCGTCCTCTGTAGGTATACGAATGCTCGCAAAGCGGAATTTCCAGCTTTCCTAGGGAAATTTAATCGACGGATTTAACAGTCGCAAAGACCCCACCGCGAAATCCGAAACGCGCACTAAGCAGAAAGTGATACTTCCGCCGTGCGCTCGCATAACACTTCCGTCGAGTTCCTCAAGAGATCGAAGAAACCTTATCGAATATAGACAGAAAAACGCGAAATCTTTGACAACCTAGTTGTCGCTCGCTCATTTGCCCTCGCACTTTTAATGCACCCTCCCGTCAATTTGTTAACTCGTGACCGACTTCGCTGACACAGTACAGCAAAAAGTTGCGTGTATCGCGCGACAGACAGAGGGATAACCGCCGTGCATGGTGCCGTACCACTTTGTTAAACCACGTAGCGTCTCGCGAGTTCGCGCCTGTGCATCAATAATGCGTGCCGACGTATTCTATCGTCGAGTCGCATTTCGCATTACACGTCGTCGTTGACGTCACGCCGGCGCTTTGATCTCGCAAATGAAGTAAATCGCGCCCGAGCTCGATACGACAGACCCGCGCGCATGAAAACACACGTGTGAACATTTAGCCCCTTTTTCCAACGGGGGAATGCTATTTTATCGGAATATAAAGTATTAATTCCTGCCGCCTCTCTATCTCTCTCTTCTCACCTCTTTCTCTCTTTCTCCTTCTCGCGTCCGCTAAACGTACGTTTATTGACACGTGAAAAAAATTAATTTCAATCAGAGATACTCGCGCGCGCACGATGTGTTTCTCTTTGTAAATCTCTCCAAATGCGATAACGACGCGAAACAATATTCGCGCAATTATTTTGCCCATCGGACGCATCCTTGCGCTAATGCATAACACAAATTAATTAGCTTTCAGCTGTTGAGGCTGTAATTGTCTGAAAGCTTTATCTCTCTTGCCTCCCTTTCTCCTCTTTGCCGGAGGGAGCGTGCTGCGTTTATTACGCGATGGTACGAGCCGTGCCGACCAAAAAACGCAATCTCGCGCAACAATATTCTTCGGTTTACCGCTTTTCTTTCAGGCGCACTGGCTGGTCCAGCGTGCCGTGAAATTCGCACATCGCGCTCGTTTACCGTCCTGTCTCCGCCATACCCGCATGTAGAAATAATCCCGATGCAGAGCGTTACACAGACCGCGCCTAACGAGCAGCAACCTCTCCTTTGAATTGCTCGTCGCTTCCACGGCGATGTTCCATTTGTTCATCTGCCTTTGTATCGCGCGGAAGTGGGACGATAATTTCGGCTTTCCCCGCATTATCAACATCAACAATTTGCACAGATCACTCGGGCCAATCGGGAATGACATTTATCTCCAAACACCGATGTCGAGATTCTCTTACGGTGTTAATTACTTTCCTCCATCACACTTCGCGAATTTCAAGAGCCACTGCTTCGAAGAGTACTTACGACGCGCTGAGAAACGTTCGATGCTCCACCACGTCCGATGTTCATAAATATTTCGCTCGCGCGTTTTCACGTTATCGCGACGATTAATTCCCCGAAAAATCTCGGAAGGTCGCGGAACACATGTGAACGTAAGCTGCGCGGAGATCATTCCCCGCACGATCATTCTAATTCGGAGAATTAGTGCTGACTATACGGTATCCCTCCCGCGGATAAATTGAAATCAGTACCCCGCTCAATTCCACGAGACGGACTGCCAACCCGAGATGTCAGTCTACGTTATATACACGTGTCCCTAAAGTGGGTTGTAAGCCGCCCAGGAGAACGGTCGGTCAAAAGATTCGAGAGTGATGGATAGCCTCAATCTTCAGGCTAGCCGGACGCGAGTCTAAGCTGTTATCCATTAGACCGCTGTGGATACATTTAGACGAGCCTTTGTACACCGACAGTACATGTACACGCCTCGCCGATCAGCTGCGAGTCTAAAAATCTTCCGCTCTCGCGTCGATTATGCCGCTCGGACGAGCGAATCTTTCGACGATCCGCCACTCTATCCCCGATAACTTCCGATTCTAGCGTGTGACTCGTCGCTAGGCGTCACTTTGGCCGGTGCCCCTTCATGTCGCGGAAATTCGCTCCGGATAGCGTCGTTCTACGCACGTTTTATCGCCCCCCATCGGGGAGTTTTTATATTATTGACGAGTTTTTATATTATTGAAATTCTCTCTTCAGAGACTCGTTCCAAACGAGACGCCGTTCGTCAAACTTTAATTGCGATCACTGATGGATAAGACCTGTCTCTTCCGCGAGTGAACTTCGACCGCACCTCCCTCTTCTCGCGTGCTTAACGCGCCGGAAAATTCCTATCTTATCTGCGAACCAATTCGGGATTCCGCAATTTCCGCGCGGGTCGGGTCGATACACGGCAGGGTGATTTTCGTGAATACCTCTGTAAAAATTTCCATGGACGCGCATGAATAGCTCTATGGATATATCGCAACGGGGCATGGCATGGCGAACGCGCTGACCCCGTCGTCGTTGTACGAAATTTAATCTGAGATTACAGAGCGACTCGACAATAGCACGTCGTCGATTACGATGATCGGTGCATTGGGTGGAATGCTGAAGGCCGGATCAATTTTCGTCGATCTATTTTCCTCCACTGAGAATGCCCTTTCACCCAGAATGTAAAGGGAGAGAAAAATTCGCGAGAAGTAAGCCGCTTTTAATCGCTTGCACCGTATCTGGATACACATATACGTGATTGTGACATAATTATGCGGCTTAATCCATCTTTTTAACAGCTTAGCATATTATTTTACACTCAAATATGGTGGAAATGATTAGAGAGACTGGTGCGTCTTAGCTTAGTAAATGTTAGAACTTTTTTGAGGCTTGATAGAAATAATACTTGGACTAATATAGATATGCGAAATATTATAGTATCTTTTTCATATCATTTCATATTTTTTCAATTTTACCATATTTTTAGTAGTG